TGAACACTATATAAAGCTTCCATGGCCTAACAGTACAGTAACATGTTGAATAACCAGGCATCAGCATATCTGGAATATTGTAAGACCTGCCATTGGTAATAATTGTATTCCAATTAACACAAGAACAACAACACTAGAAAACATTTAGTACTGTTAGCCCATTGCTTTGGCAGAGCACGATAAATCACCGTCCAATGTTTTGAAATTTGTAAATACTATTAGTGGTGCAAAACTCATACACAATATTAGAGGAGGGCCAGTACTGTACTGTACTTTTTAACAGGATTCTTTTACAAGACTTTGCCAGAATCTTCTTACTATTTTTTTATATAGTAGTGGAAAACAATCACCAAACAAATTGTACATACAGTAATTACAGTATTCCCTACACCCTAGAAGATTAAAAAAAAAAAAAAATGAGCAGGGCGCTTAAAAGCAGAGGAAAAATATAGGATGAAAAGCAAATATGCCTTTTGAATAAAAACCACAGGCAGGTAATCTTTGATTACTTCAGGGAGTTGCCTGTGAGTCCTACATATAATGCCCAGTTCTCACTCAGTAAAATTGGGTTCGTAACAGGAAGGGCATTAGAAAAAAACGTAGGTTGGGTGTTCGAGCAATAGCTGAGAAAGTTAATTTAGACAGGGAAAGTGTTCGAGCAATAGCTGAGAAAGTTAATTTAGACAGGGAAAGTGTTCGACAAAGGTTTGTACAAAAATGGTTCCAAAAATTATGTCAGATGAACAACGAGCCAGCTCACAAAGCTTTGTCTGTGAAGTAGTTTTTAACCCAAATAAAAACATCACTGTGCTTGAGCACCCATCCTATTAGCCAGAACTGTCTCCCTGCGACTTCTACCTCTTACCAAAGATCAAGTCCGTGCTCAAAGGAACCGATTTTTTGTCGGTAGAAGAGGTGAAAGCAAAAACAACGGAGCTCCTCAACAGCCTTACAGAACATGATCTGCGGAATTGCTTTGAACTGTGGCAGCATCGTATACAGCTGTGTGGCAACTCAGAAGGGAACTACTTTGAAGGTGATCCAAGTTGATTTTCTTAATTTGGCAAATAAAAAAAAGTGTTACAGCAACAGTCTCGGTTTTTTTAGTGTCGGACCTCGTACATCCCATAGGAGAATAATTCAAGCAAAATAAAGATTGAATGAAAGAATTAAAGCTTAAGCTAACAAGTCATACAGTGTAGACTAAGTATCAGCTACCTCGTGTAGTAGCATCCCTTAGAATAAGGACATACTGGTGGGCAAAAAACCACTGAGCTTTTTACAGCGCTGAATCATGATGGGAAAATTTTTTTCATGAGCTAAATTGAACAACAAGCATATAATTCTCAATATGGTCTAAGACGAGAAACATATCATGGTAAGTAACAGACAAGCTGATCCCCATCTTTTTCATACCCTGAAAAAATCATCAGCTCCTATGTAAACCTACTGAGGAATAGGATACAGTATTATACAAAAACTAGGAGTAAGTAAGATCCAATGTTGCCAGAAGTCCATTCACGGATGAACAACCAGAAGAAAAAAATACTCTCTGGATCTTGCAACTATCAGATATAACCAACAAAGCTTCGCATATGACAAAATGAACCATCTGTACCATAGACAGTGCCAGGGCATCAGGAGAGAAATACTTAAGAATGCATTCCCATGGTTCTATATAAACCTAGTGAACCTGGGGCCAATAAGAAAACAATCAAGCCAATATATACTGTATGTTCACCCATTCACAAAATGCAAAACAAGATACAGTATATTAAGTACAGTACAGCCTGATCACTTCATTTCCTATATTAAACAAGACAAAGAATGGATGCCTCACTAAATTCCTGAGATCATGTGAGAGTGGGCTTTGGTCACCCAAACCTAACAGAACATGTAACATAAAACCCTTAAATCCCTTGCCATACTGGAATAAGGGACAAAATAAAGATGACTTTTGAAATAGGTAATGGATTTAACTGATACTCAATGTATAGTAACCCAATTCATTAATGACTGATCAGATCTAAAAGCAAAAGCCACCAACAAGGGCACTAATCTTGACAGACTAGGGTACGACTCATCAACTTACAACCAGCATGCACACAAAAGTATCTCAGGTATATTGTCTAAAGCATAAAAATATGAAATCCCTTAAATCCACCCAATTTCAGCAAGAATAATTTGCTCAACTATGCATAAGGAAAGAGAGATACTGTACAAGTGAAAAACAAACAAATAAATGATGAATGACAAGGATAGCAACTAAGAAATGAGGACTACCCACAATTAATTTAATCTGGGTTGCATTACCTAATATAATGGGTCTTGAAACAAGCCCACAGTGAAGTTACAGTACTGTTGGATAAAGGGGCTACCTTATACATAATGGGAAATAGATTGTGAATTACCTGATTACTTATTGAATGAACGAATAAAAAATTTACCAACTGTTAGATCACTTGACTTGTTCCCATACATACTGTACTTAACTGAACACAAATAAATATACAATAAACCCTCAAGATAGAATGTATGTAAGTTACCAACTCCCAAGGCAGGATAAACAGTGTGCCCCCTAACTGACATTCATAATAAAATCTTCCTGAATGTACAATCTTTATCATTTTAGATGTTATACTACAGAAAATCTTCAGCAGTCACCAACATCTGGATTAAAACTATTAAATGATAGGTTTAGCTTCATCCTGCATACCAACCATTTTCAAACATTTCTAACAATCATAGCTTAAGATTACAATAGTCATCAACTGAGCAGAGCCTAACCATTTTCAAACAATTCTAACAATCACAGCTTTACGATGAATCAACAACTGAGCCAAGCCAAATATAATGTAAAAGAATGGAGAGGTTAGCACTTCCTTCCAACAGGAATGGTATAAAACAATAGCATCTACTTGTGCTGCCCAGGTGACTGCAATTTTAGGTCAACCCATAAAATGATGATACGACATAGCAGTGACATGTGAAGGTTGAGAAGCACAAGTATTACTATGATGACTATAGTCTGTTGACTCAAGGCTTGCAAATGAGGCCAAGGGTTAGTTTGTAGCAAGGCAGCTGATTGGTTGGCAGATGGACACCCAGAGAATCACTAAAGTTCTTCAGTATTTAAGCTATCATATTTATATTCTGATACTTTAACAGTTTAATGGATAATAATTTTTCTTTGTTGATCTCTGATAATTTCCACACTTTGAGAAGCAAAAAGTAGCATATGAAACACTGGTAATAAAAATATCATAAAGTGAACATGAACATGACAAACAAATTTTGGGACGTAAACTCCACCTCGCCATGTGATGTCATGCAGCACTAAATTTTGAACTCTTTTTCTTGTTCTCTCCAATATATTTATATTAACCAGTGTGTTTCACATGCTAATTTTTGCCTCTCCAAATGTGGAAATTACTGCATTGACCATGTATGAAGTCTGGATCTGGACCTGTATAAGCTAGCCTAAGCTTAGGCTATTATAATGTAATATTATAATGTAAACAGGCCCAAATATCCAAAAACCAAAAATAAAGTATCTAAAACCAAGGTGTTTAGATAATGGATCCTTGACCTATACAATATTTCTAATTTATACTGTTTCATAAAACATACATAGTACAGTGTTCTAAACAACAACAACAAAAATATGTGATTGTTTTCACCTATTAAAGTTTTGGGGTTCCAAAGGGTGAAAGAAGGCTTCACTGGGAAACAGAGGCAAACAATTATTTTTGCTGTTTCATGAGTACAGCAGACCATGAGCAAAAAGACAAGAGGATTCATTGTTTCAGAAGGTAAAGAATTGAGGCCATAAAAAGTTACAAGGGTTGGTCACTATTTTTATCCCAACATCAATGGGAAAGTCAGAATAATGTTATCATTGAGTCTGTAGTCAGCCATCCACTCCACATTGCATGTACAGCTGTGGACAAAAATAATTAGGCAGAGAGGGAGTGTAAGCTGAGCCTGCCTCATAATAATAATAATAATAATAATAATAATAATAATAATAAAAAAAGAAAAAGTGGCATGGAAAGAAAATTGCAAATTTTTAATGGCCACCTCTATGCAACATTGCCAGGTCTCCACTTACCTCTACCCTTGCATACACCGCCTCTACCTCCCCCCCCCTCCCTGCTGAATTCTTTTTGTCCACAACTGTACATCTGTATGTCCATTTATATATTTATTTACAATAAGTGACATTTTTTAAGTTGAAATATTCTAAGAAAATTCCTTGGAGGTCCATTAGGGCAGGGGTACTCAAACTTTTTTCAACCAAGGACCCCTTATATACCATGAAGCATACAAATATTGTCAATAATCAAAGAATAAATCATAGTCCAAAGCATTTGTTCATTTCAACCCAAATCCAAAATATCCTGCGAATTGGAATCGCCAAATCTCTCACAAACGTTAAACACACTATTTCTCAAAAACTTTTCGCGGTCCCCAGTTTGAGAATCACTGCATTAGGGGACAGAGACCCTAAGTTACCACAACCTTTGTTGTCCAATATACGTACAGTAAAGTTTGACATTTCCTTTCCAGCTGGGCAAGTGAGGACTCAACACTCATCTTAAGTGAGTCCACTACTGGGTTCAAACTTCAGGAGTCAGCAGGATTTACTATCTTCTACGGTCAATTTAACTGGTGTACTAATATGATGGACATAAGGAACTAAATGCTCGAGATAATTTGAAATGAAAATAATTATAAAACCCATGCAAGGATGATATAGTTCTTAAAGTAGTCAATATACAAAGCATCTGAGAATAGAAAAACTAAATATATTAAACAAAATGATAATCTTGATAAAATGATTGTGAAGACTATACCTTTTATATAGATATCAGAGAATGCTGAAACTCCATCAATAAATATTGACACACCACTCAAAACTATGCTTAACTATCAAATAAAACCAACCAATTAGTAAGAGAATTTCACACAAAAAAACCTTTGGTGATAAACAACCTAACCTTGCGTATTGTCTCCGGGTCACGTTCAACGATCTTCATCAGAAAATATCCTGCCCCGGTGAAGCCCCCTAAGTAGTACATACTCCTCAAAGTTGCCATGTTTACCACACCTGCAAGCTAAACCCAAAAATACCAACATTGCTTTTTATATCACATTACATTATTTCATGGTTAGCCACTACATAGTGAACTTTAATATTGTATCTAAAATTAAGTACAGTATGAAAATTTAGAGGAACATAAAAATATAAATGAATACTACAGTAAACCCTCGATAACACGGAATTTGATAACTTGGAATTTCATATAACTCGGCATGGATATGGTCACGGAATGTATTAGTTTAACTTGGGAAATGCAGAAATATATAAAATTATCTGGGAAAATCTTGGCATATCTGGCAAGTTGCATCACCTACCATGCCTGTGTTACCTACCATGCATTATTGACACCTACCATGCATCTGTTTTCCTACTATGATGCTTCATTCTTCACCTGCAGTGTTAGTAAATGTTACTTATTTACATTTAGTAATTACAAGTACACATACATGGGTCGCTAATTTTTTATTGTATTTTTGTAGGAGAGGAGAAGTGCCACGATAAGTAGGAATTTGGGATAACTTGGCAAGGCCAGAACCCCAGATGTGCCGAGTTATCGAGGGTTTACTTTATACATTAAGGTCCTGCTTAATGAGTAATAAATCAACAAGAATTTAATGAATTTGGTGTTTAGGACATGAAAATTCAAGTAACAAACTTCTATTTAATTTATAAAAAAAATTTTGAGTAAAAGACTTAAATGTCTTCCTGAACCCGAAGCAAGGCACTTGCTATTTGCCTGTATTTTTTTTTTTTAATATACAATCGGTCCTTTTTATCTTTTATTCACGTAAAACAACAAATAGAATTTAAATCTTATTTTACAATTAGATTTCCTGCTTATGTTGTTTGAGAGGAAACAAAAACAACCAAATGACATGGCAGGCAGATGGCATCTATTTTACTATGTTGTGTAAGCTTATGATCGTCCTAAATTGTAATGTGTATCTCAATAGGCATTTTAATGCACAGACAGGAAAGCCTCCAAAAACGACAGCTCTACTAATAACTAATCGTATTTAAAACCCTGATCAATTTAGGACCCGATTTAAGTTACACTATTGTATTCATATTTACGACAAAAATAGGATACAGTAAAAGGAAAAATAAAATTATTAATTTCATATAAATAATAACTAAATCCCCATAAGTATTATACAAATAGTGATATCCCCATTAGCTGGAACAATTGGTGCAGAGCACTTCCAGGGAAGAGAGATTTCCAGCTAACTAGACGACTTTCTCAAACCCAGAAAAATTCCGTATCCCCGGAATTGTTTCCGGTTACTGGGAAAAGTGTCTGAGTGTCTAAACTAGACATCTTGCACAGACAGACACAAGCCCACTTCCTCACAATGTTTCTGGGTTTCAGGGATATTTCCCTCGAGTCTAAACTACCAGAGTCTGTAAAAGCAGTCCTAATTAAGAGAAACTCCATTTCTTTACTACAGTATAATAATCCAGAACAGTTTATCTAAAAGTTTGGTTAAATAATATATAAAAAAACCAAAAAATCTATATGATACCGGCATGAATGAAGCTGTGTGTTACAGCAACGCCTGTTATTTTCCACTCCCATGGATCTGTGAAGGATTAGTGGGTCTCATGTACAGTGGAAGTTGAGACCCTCCCCTGTATTGTATGAGTTCTTCTTGGAACCTATCTCGTGTTATATCAAACTTCTACTGTATTGCATTGCTAATGACAGTACAGTAGTTCGAGGAATAGTAGTGACAATTGCAGTACGCTGCTATTCATCAAACAACTGTCAATGACGATGCAATATTGCTTATTTATTAACACAGGAAGTCCAAGTATAACGTTGTCCCGCTTAATGTTGTTTCGGAACTAAGTCGCTAAACTTTAGAGACCAAAAATTCATTTAACGTCCCAGTGATCTGATACTAGGTCGTTTTGCGTCGTCACGGACTACTTTCTACAGCATATCACCCGCTCATATCTGGCTGTGCTACGCTACGCTCTCTCGGCTCGGCGTGCTGCCCTCACTTATGATACGTCACAGCATCTTCAAGTGACGCCAAGCCAGTCTCTTTTACGATTTCACATAATTTGTGTGTGCTTAAGTGCTTTTACTCTAAAACTGTACTCTAACTATTAGAAATGGCTTCCAAGCACTCATTAAGTGCTACTGATGCTAGTGTAGTGAAGAAGCAACCTAAGACCATTACCCTTGCTACGACAATGGATTTATTAACCCGATTTGAAAAAGGGGAACGTGCTGTGGATACAGCCGCTGTGCTTGGTCTAACTCCCACAATGGTGCGTACTATCTGGACCACCACAGACAAGATTAAGGTTAGTGCTGGAAGTGGTACTACTCTCAGTGCAACTAAAACAACTAGTACTAGAAGTACTGTACTGTGATAGAAAAAGTGGAAAAGATGCTGGCTATGTGGATGGAGGACCAGAATCAACGCAATGCCCTGTGAGCTTTATGGTTATCCAGCATAAGGCCAGATCCTTGTTTGACAACCTAAAGGCAGAAGATGGTGAAGGATCGAAGGAAGAGACCTTTAAGGCCAGCCGAGGATGGTTTCAACGATTTAAGCGTCATTATAACTTCCACAACCTCAAGATGACTGGTGAAGCTGCTAGTTCAGATACAGTTGCTGCCGAGACATTCCCACCAGAATTCAAACAGATTATCCAGCAAGGAGGCTGCTCACCGAAGCAAATCTTCAATGTGGATGAGACTGGTCACTTTTGGAAGAGGATGCCTGAGAGGACCTATATCTCCAAGGAGGATATACGAGCACCAGGTTTTAAAGCGGCAAAAGACCGCTTGACGCTACAGCATGGCGCGAACTCTGCCGGTGACTTCAAGTTGAAGTCGATGCTGATTCCTCTCGCTGCCAACCCACGGGTCCTGAAAGGTTACTATAAGGATCACCTTCGTGTCATCGACAAGGCAAATTAGAAGGCATGGATAACCGGCGCCATATTTAGCCAGTGGTTGAACATGTACACCGTCCCTGCAATGAAAAAATACTGTGCCAAGGAGAACCTTGACTTCAAAATTCTTCTGGTCGTTGAAAATGCTCCAGCTCATCCTCCCAATCTTGTAAAAGTGTAAAAGTTGTATTCATACCTCCCAACACGACAGCACTGATGCAGCTTATGGACCAAGGGGTCATCGCCACATTCAAGGCGTATTAATTATGCCGTACCATGGCCCAGCTGCTCAAGGCTACAGATGGAGAAAATAAACCTACGATCCGAGAAAATTAACGTGGTTTCAACATTCTTCATGCAATTGACAACATTGGCAAGGCATGGGATGAGGTTTCAGAAAGTTGCCTGAATGGTATGTGACGTAGGCCAGAGTGCGTCAACAGTTTTACGGGATTTACGGATTTAGTCCCAGCTGTGAATAGGGATGTCCTCAGCTTGGCTAGACAGGCAGACTTTGATGAGCTGGAATCAGAGGATATTGAGCACATCCTGGCATCTCATACAGAAGAGCTCACCAACGAAGATCTGCTACTGTTAACAGAATACAGTCCCGTTTAAGACGAAGACGACAAAGAACCTCAACGAATGCTAACTTCCAAGAGGATGGCAGAAGGGTTCAACATGTTCCAGTAAGCAGTGCAAATCCTTATAGATGACGACCCAAACAAAGAACGTAGCTCAAAGGTTCAACGCAGCATTGAAGACAGTCTTGGTTGTTACACTGAGATGTATAACGAGAAGAAAAGTAGCACCACGCAATCAACACTGGATTCGGTTTTTCATCGCGGGGCGTGAGAAGTAGATTCTTCACAACAGCCGGCAGCCGAGGAGGAGCAAACAAAAACGGCGGAGGAACCCCAGTCAGAACAGGAGGAGGAGGAGGAGGAGGAGGAGGCAGCCGCAGGGTCTCAGTGACTCACCACCCTCCTTCTCTCCTGCCTTCCTTCGCTCCCACCCTCCTCCTCCTTCGCTCCACTACCCACCACACACTCACTCTACCACCTCCGCCCATCGGTAGTTCATGGAGCAAAGGAAGGCTGGGGAACGTAACTCCCGTATTTCATCTACGTCGTATATCTTATGGGGAAAATTGATCCGCTTAACGTTGTTTCGTATAATGTCGCATTTTCTGGAACGTAACCCCGACGTTACGCAAGAACTTACTGTACCACAAGAACACACCCTAACACCACCCACACACCCCTATATTGTATGACATAAATTTATGCGTGGTTAACTGCATGGTGGTGAATTAAAAGATTGGCTGTTGAGGAGCTTAGTGCTTGGCAACACTGGTGCATGTTACTACTCCTTTCCACTCCATCTCTCTAATCACCAACACCTTCCTGCACCATCCATCCTTCATGGCCACATGTAAACTAACACTAACATATATTTTCCTTCTTTTCATGTTTTTATTCTATTAATGAATGATATTATCAAACTAAAACACTTACTGTATTTAAAAAAAATAAATAAATAAAAAAAAATATAACTAATTACAAAGAAATTTTTTTGTCACATTTGTGTCCTTGAATCTAATAGTGATATCTCCGTTAGCCTGAACAATTGGTGCAGAGCACTTCCGGGTAGCAAGACACGAATCTCTCAAAGCTGGAAAAAATCCCTCATCCCCAAAATATTTCGGAATTTTCCGGGTCACGGAAAAATGTTTTCGGAAGTTCCAGAAAATGATCCTGACTTTCATCTCTCAAACCCAGAAAAAAACTCGCCCATCTCCAGAATTTTCCGGGTTTAGGGAAAATTATCTCTTAATGTTCCGGAAAATGTGCCCCTGGGAAAACTTAAATTCCGACTCGGAGAGTTCTGGGTTTGAGGGATTCCGGCTAATGGAGATATTACGGTACTACGTATCCCCACTCCCTTAATTACCATTGAATCAATGGTTATTACTGCACAACATAACAGTATTTTTCTACAACGAGAGGTTCTTCAGGAATGAAACTGCCGTGTTATAGGAGGACTGACTGCATAATGTTATGCACTTTGTCTAACAATGATAAATATTCATAAAAAATACAGTACAGTGAGTTCTGCTATAAAGCGTGTTTTGATAAAGCGAATTTGCTCTAACGCGATTTATGAATAGAGGAACGATATTTGTATAACGCGAATGCTTGTTTGCTGTAATGTGATTTTTGCTTACTATTTCTCCAATTTTGTGGTATTAACTGTGAATATGGTAAACAAGAATATCTCCAAGAAGCGTTCTGGTGATCGAATTCCCGGTGATGATCGTAAAAGAAAGGATATAACACTTGAAGAGAAGCTCGATGTTATCAACCTCAAAATCACCCTTCTCCCCCATCAAGTTGCATTCATATTTTTTCAAGGTAAAGTGTTACATTTACTGTATGATTTCATTACTGTATTAGATATGAATGTAACATTTATTTAGACTGTGCTATCCTTTGTGTTAGGCTAACTACTAAATTTTTTCGATTTCGAGTAATCTGCACCTAACCCTATTTTCTCCATAAGCCCTGTTATTTCTATTACGCGATTTTCTATAACACGATATTTTACAAGAACACAACTATCGCGTTATAGCAGAACTGACTGTACAGTATGTATTTGGGTACAAAAGCTACGATCAGGACAAATCACCTACAGCAGTGATTTAACCTTTGAAATTTGGTGTTGTACACATTGTCCAATAATACATATTCATGTGAAGTTTCAACAAAAGATCTCTTTGAAAACAAGTGTTACCCATTAAACAAGGTGTCAAAGACATTAATTCAATGTTCTATACTTTACCTAGTGATAACAGTAAGCATGTCAAGTGTCACTGAAGTACCTGCGTCGATACAAGTTACTAGCAAGATGGTGTTTTAAACTTTAAGCATCATGAGTGACCTTGACTTTTATTATGGACATATGTTTTTGGTATTCTGCACTTTGTCTAGTGATAATACATTTTTACATGAAGTTCCATCAAAATTTCTGTTATGGTACAAGTGTCACACAGGACAATGTCTTAACCTGAACTTGACCTCTGATGTAAAGACCCAAATTTAGTAATCAGCACCTTCTACAGCAATAAAACAAGTCCTTATGTGTATAAATGCAATACAGTAAATGGATGTAAAATTGGGTTGGCAATACAAGACATTCAGCTGTAAAACTTGCTTCAGATTTGCCGAGAGGCAACTGGTACACCTTGCCACCAGGTAATCAAGGCAAACCTACATAAACATAGAAAATGTCCATAAAGCAGTGATGATGCTCTTCTAATTTGTTAAGTGATGACATACAGTATATCCTTGTATATTCTTGTTAAAATACCTGAATTGATACAAGAGTTATGCTTTACACAGATTTGACTTTTTACCCTCAGTTATGGCCCTGGTGTTTAATGAACTGTAACCCCTACATAATATGAACCCCTGTACAGTGCATGATGGTTAGACTACATTACTATCTTCCAAGTTTGAAGGCAATCATATTCAAACTGTAGGGCTAATTTTGTATAAAAAAACTTTCACCACCTCCAAAACAATATTATGAAAACTCGGAGTGAACTAAGTAAGTAAATAAATAAATGGCGAGTGCAAAAAATAAGTACGGACAGTAATTCATAAAGAAGTACTGTACACATTCACAAAATGCTTCATGTGCTTATAATAATTAAATAAACTGAATGAAGAGATCAAGGAGAACACAGCCATACCAAAATAGGCTTACCTGTCAGATTTAGTTTATGCTGTAATTCAAATCCACAAAACCCTTTACTCCTGCTTCTCTGGTGATTCCTCGAGTTTATTTCCAATGACAGGGAACTGCTTCGCCCAAACACGTTGATCTAACTGTCTTGTTCGATCTTGCTTGTTGAAGAATTCACCAACACTATAAAATGCTGGAAATGAAATTGCTGTTATACTTAATCACACAGTATAAAGTCAAGCTCTAAGGTATGGAACAGTCCAACAAGAGTGATGATCAGCTACACAATCACCTTGATGAGCAAATTTAAATGTTCTTTTCATGATAGTACTCTGATAACCTTTATAATTACATACACTGAGGTAGAAACACTAACTCTCCCCTAATCTTTTTATCCATCGACTACTCACTTAATTGTGCTTAATACCTCTTCGTGATTTGTCATACTGTTTAAAAGCCAATTATTCTTTGAATGGTTGTTAGTTTTCTAAACTCTTATCTTTTTCTGGCAAAAATTTGTAGTGTATTTCACATTAAAAATCCTTTATCTGAAATTCCCCAAACCCCTAAACTTTTAAAAACAAAGAAAATTCAATAAGGTGCAAGTGATGTTGGTCACCCAGCTGACCTGAGCCGAGCCCAACACACCAGAACATTGCCTTGGTTTGCCCAAGAAATACGGTTGTTTGTCAAAACTGTTTACAGCCAAATAATATTTACTTTATTCAAATATTTGTGTTTATTTTGTGCCTTGATTGTGAAAATTAAAAAAAAAAAACAAGCAGCAGATACCCATATGGGTAATGGTACCCTTCACTGGATTTAGCACTCACATAGTATACATACACACACACACACATGCTGGGAGAATATGAAAACCCTGGGAGACCATAATATTGTGTGATAAGGCACAGCGTGAAGTTGACTGATTGTAGCAAAACAATGATGGGAGCCCAGGTGGGCATTACTTGAAATTCCCTTGATCTAGCAGAAGGTTCTGCTAGATAGAGAAGCAAATACGTACCAGCACAAATTCGTCCTGCTAAACTGAACTTTCACTAAAAGGAATTCCGTTAAAAGGAATGCTTACATACTGTTCTTTAAAGACTGCTCTGTGAATGATGGTATACAATACATAGTAAAAGACTGTTCCTGCTCACTCTCAATGGCTGGAGAAGAGGGAAGACTGGAATGCTATTAAAACATTGTTGGGGTTAGGGACCAGCAGAGTTAAGATATCTAAATATAAATCAATGGAATATTTGGCCTGGATTTTGCCCCCTTTAGGGTTATGTTAGCAGGTTTGCCTTCATAATCATTACTGTATTACATGTACTGTATTTACTCTATTTTTTACATTAATGTCACTTTTGGAGGGAAAACGGTAATACTGTACAGTGATATCCCAGTCAAACCTGAAAAAAATCCCATAACCCAGGAATATTTTTGGGTACAGAATACCTCGTTATTCGCAACCCTGCCTATCCACATTTGATATTTTAGCACCCCTATTCGATATTCGCAAAAGAAAAATTAAGATACCCTACAGTAATTTTTCAAACTGGGCGCAGCTCTCATATTCTGATGAAAGGCCCACTTCACACACACGAGTGTTTTTCCCCACCCGTGTGGCTGAGAAATTAATGAAGTTCAACGGGACAGAGAATGCGTGTGTAAAATCACGCACAGGAAAATTCACGTGCAGGAGATACTCACCCAATGCTTGTACCTGTATCTCCAAACCGCGGCGTGAAAAATTAAGGTAAGCATTCGAGAATTCATCATACAGTATGATTATGGTTTTTCCTGCACGTCAGTTGTAGTGCATCTATGGTAGGGGCTGGAAGTGCCTATGATTATTTTTTGTCAGATGCAGGAAAACTGAAGCATGAAAAACACCCCATTGTGAACACGTGACCCATTAAAGACAACACAGAATATATTTTAATAATAAATACAGGGGGTCCCTGGTTACGAACGTCCGACTTACGAACACCAGCCGATATGAACGAGGTCCCATAAGGTCAATTATTTTAAGGATCCAACATAGGTACAAATGGTTTGTAGTATAGGTACATCACCGATTTTCCGGCACCCTTGGTTTCAAAGCCTTGCCGGATTATCTGTTTTGCCGGACCAACCGAGGTCAGGTCATAATAATTCAACAATACACCTCTGACCCACTAATGATACACCTCCTGTGTCTCTAAAGCACCATGGACTGCTAGAAACTTAAATTAAACAAATATTAAATGTGAAAAAGCCATAATTTTGAGCAACATTACTGAACACACATTGTACTCACATGTACTGTACTACACTAGACTAAAAATTTTATCTCGTGTGCAAACTATGTGATGTTTATACTCAAATCAATCACTATCTTACAAGGATTCCAGCAATGCAATTTATATTCTGCTAAGTCTAGTCAGCTACATTTTATAAGATAAAAACTTTAAGCCTAAAACTAGCTTCACCCTGGCTGGGAGGGAAGTTAAGTACCCTCTCACAATTTTGTCCGGACTAAAGGAGGTGCCAGACCACCAGTTCCCGGATAATCGGTAGTGTACCTGTATTAACGTACGAGAACTAGTTTGCGTGGCGTAGCAGTAGGTGGGGAGCAATGCATCACCCAACCATGCGCCTTGAGGGAGCATTGGTACACCTTACTCACACCCCATTAACGTGTGTAATCAAATGCAAACTGTTGTTTTTTTTTGCTTATTAACTAACTCTATTTATCTGCCCTCATCATGGCTCCCAAATGCAAACCTGATGCAAGTGATAGTAGTGCACACAAGAAAAGGAAAACAATTACATTGGAGGTGAAAGTTGATGTAATTAGAGGTTCTGAAAAGGGCAAAACACCCTCAGTCATTGGTAAGGCATTGGGTGTCAACGATCTGAAAAATTTTGAAAGACAAACAAAAAATTCTTGTTATCACTCGACTGTGATAACAAAACAAAAAACTGGAAAGATTGTTAGTGATATGGGTGGAAGATCAAAATCAACATCATTTGCCTGTAAGTCTAACCTTGATTTAAGAAAATGCTGAAATGAAGGCTGCACATGGTGGTGAAAGTGATGAGGATGATTTTGTCGCTAATAGGGGCTGGTTTAATTGGTTCAAGGTAAGGACAAATTTACATAACATTAAAGTGATTCTAGATGTATAAAAGAACTTAGGCTATGATATAGTGCACATCGGGTATGTGTTCTGACTTATACATTTCCGACTTAAGAATGTCCTCAGCACCATCCGACTTACGATCACCTCCTTAAATAAGTCATCAACCAGTCTTAGACCCATCCAGTCCTATGAGCAAGTCAGCGTCAGGATTCAATGTAAGTGGAAAGTGGCTTACAGTATGTGAGTCCTATCTTCAAGAAGGGCGATAGTCACTCCACGAACAACTATAGACCGGTGAGCCTGACCAGCATAATATGTAAAGTACTTGAGAGTATTATCAGAGATGCCGCGATGGAACATCTACTACGAAACAACCTTGTAAAAGATTGCCAACACGGTTTTATGCCGGGGCGCTCTTGCTTGACACAATTGCTCAAGGTATTGGATATTTGGACCCATATTCTAGAACGGGTGGTAATATCGACAATATTTACCTAGATTTTGCCAAGGCTTTCGACAGTGTACCCCACGAAAGGCTGAAAATCAAACTGGAAGGGTACGGAATTCGGGGAAATGTCCTAGCGTGGATAGAAGACTTTCTACATGACCGCAAGCAATGTGTGGTGATTAATGGCACGAAATCGTCATCTGTACCTGTAACAAGTGGGGTACCGCAGGGTAGTGTATTGGGCCCGCTGTTGTTTGTTTGTTTCATAAATGACATGCCTGACGTTGTACACTCCTCCATACAAATGTTTGCCGATGATGGCAAGTTATTTCGGGAAATTAAGAACCAAGCGGACTGTGAAGAGCTGCAAAAGGACCTCTGTGGGCTCCAGGAATGGTCGAAGGAATGGCTGCTGAGATTCAATGTCACGAAGTGTAAGAGGATGCACCTGGGGCGTACCAACGGTAAGGAGGCGTATCATATGTCCCAACGGGATGAAGAAAATGTACTAGTTGAGACTGTGTGTGAGAAGGACCTAGGTGTGTATGTTGACAATGAGCTGATGTTCTCGGGCCATTGTGAGAAGAAGGTAAATCAGGCAAATAAATTATTGGGTCTTATAAGAAGGTCGTTCAGATATCTAGACGGTCCGTCCCTCGTGACGATCTTCAGGAGTGAAGTGCTTCCCCATCTGGAGTACTGTCACCCCATCTGGTCCCCGAGATATGCTAGGGACTGTCAGTTGGTTGAAAATGTTCAAAGGAGGGCCACCAAACTGGTGCCTGCACTTCGGCACCTCAGCTACCCTGAGAGATTGGAGCGCCTGAACTTGCCTAGCTTATACTACAGACGGGCAAGGGGGGACCTAGTTGAGGTGTATAAGCATCTCAGGGGCACTACTCAGTTGAGTGTCCTTACTTGGAGCTGGCGGACGCTCGCCCCACAAGGGGTCACAGCTCAAGATTGAAGAAGCCGCAAGTCCAGAAAACCGTGAGGGCAAACTTTTTCGGAGTGAGGGTTGTAAACTCTTGGAACAATCTACCAGAGAGTGTTGTGACGGCACCGAGTGTGAGCTCTTTCAAGAGAAGACTTGACCAACACTGGAGCGGGTTCAGGTACATTCAGGAGCCGGTGCATGCCCAGTATTTGCCAACAGTGCGTGACAGAGACGTGACCGATCGCCCGGGCGGCTAGCGAGCCGATCTTTTGGTGAAGAATATAAATGAAAAGAGACGTGACCGATCGCCCAAGCGGCTAACAAGCCGATCAGTGGCGAAGAGGATAAAAAAAAAATAAATAAATAAATAAATAAAGTTAAGAGGCAGGTTTTCAGTATACTTATTTGTTGTGAATTTACAAACTTTCGAGTTATGAACAAATTGACTTTCAATTAGGGTCCAGGAACGTATCCCTGTTGTGCCTTACTGTACTCACCAGCAGATGTTGTCTTGAGCCTATAGT